GGGCTTATGCAACCACGCAGCTGAGTTGCGTGGGGTTGCCCACGCGTGATGCTGGGGTATCGCCCTCCCCAGGGTACCCCCCTGGCCCTGCTTGTGCCCTCCGAGGCGCTTAGTCCGCCTGGAAGAGGGTGGGAGCGGGTGTACGAGGGTGGTCCCTACGCGGAACCCACGTGGGAACATCTAGCTGGAAATAATCGGGGGTGCTGCTGCCGTTCCCCGGAATCCCACGGCAGTTCAGCTCCAAGCTTTTCTTATAAAGGCTTACGCGTGTTCACGTAAATATTTTGAGCTTTCAGTCTCTTTATTTATTTATTTGTGGAACATGTTGTAGTTGAAGAAGATTATCGACTCGTTTCTTGACTTGTCCGCTTCCTTTGGGATGTGCGGGTTTATGGCGCGATGGCTGGAAGTAGGCTTTTCGCTTAGGAAATGCAAGGAGCCGTGCATGTTTCCCTATTGTTAATTGTAAAATGGCTTTCCATGCACTCTTTGTTTTGCAGACAGCATTGTCCCGGTGCTTAGACAAAGGCAGTGTTGTTAATGCACCTTTATTGATATCTCATTCAAAGAATAAAAAGAACATGACCTTTTTTCATATTCAGTACTTAAATGTAATGATCAGCTCCCAGTACTTTGAATGGTTAAGCCAGAGAAATGCACTAGCACTGATAATTGTCCGGGGCAAACGTCGCTGATGGAGTGCATCCCAAAGTAATTTCCAGAGAGTTTTGTTTAATTTGCTAATCATTTCTCTTGAAAAAAAAAAAAATCTTGTAAGTTGGTCCTGACTGCTCTCAGCCATAACTGAGTCCTTTCACCGCTAGAATAGCTTAATATTTGAAAGCATCAGGTAGCACTTGCCTGACGTTACAGCCTAAAGTAGGCCACTTCTGAAAGATGCTGATACTTGAGAATTCTCTTGGTGACCATTCAGTTAAGTTAGTGCATCTTTCTTGGACCTTTCCCTAGAAAAATGGGGCAGAGCAGGACACCCGCCCGAACACAGGGGAAGGCTGGTGAGTTACGAGAGGCACAGCAGTTCCCCTCACCGTGTCCACTAACCCTTCTGCAGGGCAGCACAGGAGGAGTGGGAAATAGTTGCTGGTTCTGGCTGCACTCTTCCCTGAAAAGAGAGCTTAAAAAGTTGCATCAGATCATCTCCGACGTTGCTGGTCTCAGACTGGTCGCAACTCCTCACCAAGGAGGGAGCTCCCTGCGGGTTACCACTGCTTCTTTCATAGTGATGAGCGGTGTGGTTCCAGGGACACTATGTGCTGAAGAGCTGCTTTCCAGTGTTGCCTGAACACATTTTTAAAATGAAGCCGGTAAAGGTACTGCTTGGGTTGCCACTGGCGCGCTTTGGCTCTTCCCACTTTTCTCAGGCACAGGTAGTGATTGTGGCCCTTCCTGACAAGTTGGAGTTAACAACGTTGGAGTAGTGTTGGGTTAGCAAGGCAGAAATTTTAAGTAGGCCATGAGGAAGAAAGAAAATCCTCCTGTTTATTGGAAATGTTTCATAGTGTGGAGTATTTTTTCTGCTTTCTTTTTTTCTTTTTTTTTTTCTCTTAATAAATCCAGATTTCTCTCAAAACAATCAGTTCCCTCTGCCCTTTCTGCTCTCACAGAAGGGTTGTTGCTGAACCCTGCAGTTCCAGCAGGCAGGAATCCTGTTTCCAGGCTGGGTCCTCACATGGAGTCCCTCGTTATCATTGTTGCTGTGTTTGCAGAAGGTGTTTGCGCTGCTAACGTGACTGCTGGTCCTCAGCCTCTTGTTTTCTCGTTTCATGTTCCCTCTTGAAGTATAAATGTGTGTGCCACCTTAGTGTCACATGCGATGCAAAATAAAGAGGTCAAAATATGCTTTGATGATGGTGTAGATTTTTACTTCTCCCAGCTAGTGTAAAGTTAAGCCTGCATACAAGTCCTTTGGCCTTTTGCAAGGTTTTTTAGGTAAGGGTCTGGGGCTGGTAATCTGGGTTTGATTTGGGTTTTTTCCTTGTTTCCTCAAAAATATACTCAGTTTGTGCAAGATCTTACCTAGTAACATAAATGCTAAAAGAATACCTTCCTGACAAGCAGGACCTAAATAATAATGTGCACACCCTTTAATATATTTTTGAGAGAGTACTCTTTAAAAAAATAAATATTTATTCAATGCCAAACACTCTGGCTTTGGTTTTATATGTTGTCAGCAAGTTTTATTGTTATGTCAGCAAGGACATACTTATGAAAGTACCAACAGGTAGGTTTTTTTAAAGATTAGAAGGATATGTAACTAAATGTTATACATAGCCTTTGGAATTCATTATTGCAATAGACTAGAATCACTGACTTCAGTGATTAGATTTAAAAGCTAAACCAGATGATGATGTGATTAATATTCTTTGTAGGTTTGCACGCAAAGGTGAAAATAATTACAGTTGCTTTAGTGTTCAAAGCACTGCGGAACCTGGCTAGTTTCTTCTGCCTCTCCTGTATTGCATTGCTGGTGTTCACGAGTGGGGTGTGAAGGCAGCGAAAGCTTCACCTGCTCCTGAAGCCATGGCAGGAGGTTGCTGCTTTGCCCTGCGAGTTCACGGTTGTTTGGGTTTTTTTCTTAACTGTTGATAGTTATTAGTCAGATGCAGTCAGATTAGTCAGATATTTTCAACATCACTAGAAGTAAGGACCTCAAATCTCCTTCCCTAACCCACTTTCTAAAATAGATCAGCCTTTGTCACGTTACTACAGTCTAAATCTCATTAATACCTGTAAATTAAACCACGAAACAAGAATAGAAAGGTGGAATGCATGCAAATGTGCAATAATAACAGGCGAGGCAAAGGTCCTGCATTACAGTAGAGTAGGAGGCGCAATGCCTCGTCCATCCACGGGGACTTGGAAGCCAAGCTGTCTTAGAGCAAAGCTCCTGAGGGCCGTGACACTGCGGCCCTCTTCTGCACCCAGAGTTGTCTGCCTGGGTGATAATGGGTTTTAGTCTCTTGTAATTTAAATTGAAGATGATGGCAAGACTCGCAGTTGCTTCAGAGAGGCCTCGTGCTGGTTCAAGATCCAAAGAATCCAAAGTGCTGTCCGACAGCTAAGCTAAAGCAAATGCTTCCAGACAACATCTAAATGCAGAGTTAATACGCAATATGTGTATTGGCAAGTGTATAAATTACCTTAGACAATCACCTTTTCATTAACCTGAGTTTGTAACCCTTTGGGATGTTTTACTATTATTCTGAATGGTGTTTTATCTCTGTAAGTGGTGTGTTTTATATTCTAACAGGTGGGTTCAGACTTAGAGGAGGTATTGCAGAAGGATTTTGGTGTTTTGCATTGAGAATTATGTTAATGAGATGTGAGTGTCTTGACTAAGTTCAACTCCTGAACTTTTTGAATAAGATTCTAATTATCACTAGTATTTCTCCGTCATGGAAAGAAACAACAGAAACAAAACTAGAAGATAATATCAACAGCCTTGTGGTATCCCTCATGTAGATGTTTTGTTGTTTATTGGGCTGTAGGATGGATGTGTGCCTGGAACGGTACAATTTCAGTCATAAGTCAGCAAAGGCCAAAAATGTTTTTAATTAAAGTTGTACGTGCAGAAACTGCGGCACATAAGGTTAGAAACCTATTTCTAATTTATTCCACACTGAAATAATCTGAAAATTGTAGGTTTCTCCTGCTTGAAGTTTTGTGAATTTGTTTCCGAACCAAAAATAGCAATACCTGACAGAGAGGGTTTAATCTCATATTTATTTTGGCTATACAAATTTAACTCTCCTGCATAGGCTCATGGCCACGAAATAATACATGATAATAACTTTCTGAAAAGCATTAGTGGGTTTTCTGAAGCTTGACAGCATTTGAAGAAAAAAAAACCCTTCAGACATACCTGTAGCACCTACAATAGATAGGATATCTCTACTTGGATAATGTGAAGATCCCATTTTATTAAAGAAAATAATTATTCTGGGGGTAGAAGCGAATAGAAATTTTTCCTTAAAAGGCAAAATGAACAGCTGTTGTTTTTCAGCAATCCAGTACATCAGTACCATACTGAATGTAGGGTGGATTGCAAGCTTTTTCACTGGGTCGAGCTGTCCGGTTTTAGAGTGGGAACCTCGATAAACAAAATCCTATGAAAATTAAGTGTTGCAGGTGTAAGGAAAAGATGGATTAGAAATTGCTTTTGATCTAGTCTCTGTATAAAATTGCAGCATGGGTGGGATCCAGTTACTGGGACAGTAGTAGGAGCATAAGGATCAGCATAAACAGCAGCCTGAGGTGGGGGAGAGGCAGCAGGTGGGTTTCTTCTCCCTCGGATCCTCCTGTGCTGGACTCTTGTCCATGACACTTTCTCATCTGGTGCCGTGTTAGAAGGGAAACTTCCCCCTGAAATTTTGGGGCTCAAACACAGTTTTTTGAGGGAAGCCTTTATTGTTCTTGAAGCTTTCTCTGGTCTGCACGCACACAAGTTCAGTATCTGGAAAAGCCTTTTCGTCTCCTTAACACAAAACCACTCTTGGTATTTCAAAGTTTATTCCAGTAATTGTTGATCCTAAACTTGACTTGCTGTAAAAGCTGACTAAAGGGAATCCTAGTACGGTTCCTTTTCACATATGTTGTTGCTTGTTTCTATAGAAACATCTTGTTTCTATTTCAGACATGGAGTCTGTATTCTTGCTGTGAAATGAATGTTAACCCAATCTCTGTTTTGCAACTTTTTATTTAAATTTCCTCTGTCGCCTTTTTTGGTAGCTATTTTAAAGTACTCTTGGTATTTTTTTCTTATGTTTGCTTTTTTCCTCTAGAAGAACAAGTTACACTTAGTTTTTCTGTCTCGTTTTTCATCTGAAAGTGAGATATGATTTTCTTTTGTCCTTTCCTAATCTGTTGATATTTTCATATTTAAATATCAGATTAAAATTTGCCTAGATAAATTAATCTTTTTTTTCTTTCCAGACAGTTGAAATTAATTTTGTTGACCTAATAGTCTGTTGGCTGAGCATCAAAATCTTCTTACTGCTTACATTTACAAGGCCAAACACTAATCATTAGTTTCATACTAGCGAAGGAACCCCCTTCTTTTCCTGAAGAAGAAGAAACATGTCCCGTAAAATTATTTGCCCTTCTTGGGCAGATTTCACTTTCTTCTAATTTAACATAAGAAATCATTGTAAGAATCAGAAAAGTCCTGGTCGTATGCCAGGCGTTACTAGGAATTAAACTGTGTCTTGCCTGTGCACAGGAGTAGGAAGCAGGAAGCCTGTGCCCGGCTGTCTCGTGCCTCGCCGCATTTCGTGCTGGTGCCCTGCGATGGGGCAAGCCTGCGCTTTGGAGAAAGAGGTGGCCACGACCTGGGAACTTGCCCTTGGCTGCAGATCTCCAAAGCTTCTCCGTGGCAATACGCTGGGCAGTCGGATGGCCAGGTAGTGGCAAGATGGGGTAATTTGTTCCTCCAGGACTTAGGTTGCTGGCTGTCCAACGATCAGATATCCCTAGCTGAGTGTTGGCTGGTATGTGTCCCCATCTGCACCCAACAGAAGTTGGTCTCTTATTTTGGAGGGGAGTGAGCTTGTGGTTTCCTCTGTCCCGATCTCTGTCATGTGCTCGCTTTGTTCTCCTATTTTTCTGTAAGATTGAGCGTGAAGTGTTTTTGGTTTTGGTTTGCATTGTCTAAAAGAGAGATGACTTTGTGATGCTTTCTGTTCTGAATGTTAGTGTTCCAGCTTTCAGAAGTATAGGAGTATTTTTCAGTAAGGCTGTTCCTAAAGTCTCATCTCGATGGCTTTTTTGACATCTAAGTGTCTACAGGCTTCAGCTATCAGACACACCACCTGTTCCCTGAAGTAAAAATAACCATGACTGGAGTAAAATAGATAGTGAGCAGTAAAATACTGCAGAGGAAACTCTTTACTTGAAAAAAACGGAAAATGTGCAGGTGGAGATAAAAAAAGATATCCCTGTTTTTCTTTAATATGCTTTTTTTTAATGTCTCCGATCCGTATTTGCTGCTAAACACGAAAGGGTCTTCTTTTCTATCTAATGTGGAAATAAATCTCTTAAATATGCCATCTCTTTTTCTTTCTTTTTTTCACTTTAAATGTGACCAGTTGTGATCTGAGGTGTGTTACAAACAATTTGAAGATACTGCTACTTTTCTATGTTGGAGATGTACTTTGTGGATAGCTTTTTCCTGTTTCCCTCTTTCTTCACACCACAGCACTTTCTCAGTGGTAAAATCACAAGCTTTTACATGCAGACCAGTTATTTTCCCAATCCGTTGGGCTTTTCTCCTCCATTGCTGGAATTCTCGTTTGTTCAATACTCTTTTGGGCAGCTGATGCAAGAAAAGAGAAACTCAGACTTGTACTCAGCCTGGTGCAGTTGTCAAGTTGAGCGTGGTATGGAAATTTGAGTTGTCTGAGCGACAGGAGGCTGTTGGGGTTTCTTCAGTTCCTTAGTCATGAAAAATAGGAAAAGGGATGTTCTTTAGTTTGTTTTGAAAAATCTTGTACCTTCAGAATAGTTGAATGGATTTTATTATTATCATTTGAAAAAAAAAATATAATCCTGAATCTTTGTGGGGCAGATTCCGTATGTTTATCCACTCCCTCCTCCCACAGAATGAAGACTGTTGAACTTCATCCAGTTATTTCACTCAAGTCAGTTACTTTTTTTTTTTATTATTTGTTTCACACAGACATGCACAAAAGAATCCCAAACAAAACAAAACGTCTCAAGATCCTTGGTCCAGAGTTTTCAACGCTTAGCCTAAACTGCTGCTTCAGCAGATGAAATGCCTGGAAACCCAGACTGCAACTGCACCTATTCTCCTCACAGCTAGTGCAGAGGTGAGGTTACAGGACTGAGGATCGATGCAGTCACTTTGGAGTCATTCAGTTTGAGAGACAACAACTCATCCAGCCCACTGCTCCTTTTCTGGTGACCCTGTATCACCTCACCATCCTTCCAGCCTTGTGGTAGAGGGGAATGTGAAGAAGCAGGGTTGTCTGTCTTCTACAAGGCATCAGCTGCAGAAGCTTGGGTCTCTCCTTTCAAACCACTTTATTTCTCCCAGGGATGAGCCCTGGGAGACTTGAGTTTCTCTGGAGGGGGGGTGGGGTGGCAACCTGGAGCACACGGAGGTTCACCTGTGCTTAGATGTTGCGGTAGCTTGTCACATGTGATCTGCGTGTGGCCGCCAAATCCACCGTGTCCAGCAAATGTGGGGTGCCCTGAGCGTGGGCGCCGGGCTCCATTGCTTGCTGAGGAAAGTGCTGCAGCCGCACCCATAACATGGAGAGGAGCTGCAGGACTTCCAGGCAGAGCTTGTTGGCCATGCTGTGTTAAGACATCTAGTCTTTGTGTAAGGACACTGTTGAGCCTGTCCTGCAGTGAGCTAGCATTGCTGATACCAGAAAAAAAAAAATTCTAAACCTGTTCTTCCGTGCTCTCTTTAGTAAGCCACAAGAAAATCATAGAATCATAAAATAGCTTTTTGAGTGTACTGGGTAGGTTTATGTCACCTTCAGATCCATTTGTATTCTGCATCCTCCAAGGGTTTGGCAAAGTTATTTTGTAGGAGCCTATGCTCCCAGCACTTTGAGGGGAAAGACCTTGAACTGGCTACATTATACTTAGGAGATACAGAGCGGGATCAGTCTTACATGATTGTGAAAAGTTCAGTGGTAACTTTAACCTTCTTTCCTAGTCAGTGGAATGTGAGTCATGGCAAAGATGGTTTCTTTGGTGAGGAGTATGTTTTGGTGGGATCTCATGTTTCTCTGCATGGTCAAAACACCCTTGATGGGAAAAGGGTAAGCAGGAAAAAGTTCCTCTTGCCAGACCGATGTGGAGTGGCCTCTGCTCACGACTTACCATATGCTTTCCTGAATTTAGGCAGTAGTGAGTTTGAGTGAAGGTGGTGGAAGTATGCCATAAGCAAGGGTAGTTAGTGGTCAGAACACACGTAATTGTGTGTTATGTTGATGATGAACATAACTGGTAAAGCCACAGCCGGATGTATTTTGGCTTCAGTAGGCTGAGCTGACTTTACCTTCTCTGTTGTTTTAAGCTAGTCTGGGAAAACATTCACTTACATGGGAGACTTTTTTTCAGAATCACTTAAGGGATGTAGGAGCACCAGCTGTGCTACAAGTGGAAGAACTTGTTCTTGGTCTCTCCTCTGCAACCTCCTTGGAAACTTTCATACTGCTAAAAGGTCCGTCTACGGCATCCTGCATCTGAGAGGGCACATGTTTCTCCTTAAAGCATCCAAGCCCCTAAGCCAGTTGACCATAAAGGCTGGGTAAATTTGTTTACAGAATTTCCATAGTGAAGTTTTTCCGAGTCTCTATCTTCCCGTTCTGACTTTCTGCCCATAAACAGTGGGAGACAGCAGACAACAGCCTTGCTGATGGAAATATGCCATTTTGGATAGAGAGGGAAATTTTGTAACACTAAGCATATTGAAAGACAAGAGAAAATGGGTACTGCAGTAGCCTTGGGAAGAACATTGTTTGTGCATATGTGCTGAGCCATATGTGCTGAGCCCCTTCTGTTCCATATCGTAACTCTTATTTTTAATTTTAGGGAATTTAAAGTTGAGAATAGAAACAAAATATGAAATGGAGAATGGAGCTCTGCAACTAGCTCTGGAGTCCTCAGTGCAAGAAAGATCATGGACCTGTCAGAGCAAGTCCAAAGGAGGGACTCAAAAATGAGCACCTCTCCTATGAGGACAGGTTGAGAGAGGTGGCTCATCCTGGAGAAGAGAAGGCTCCAGGGAGATCTTATAGAGGCCTCCCAGTACCTGAAGGAGGCTTGTAAGAAAGATGGGGACAGACATTTTAGTAGGGCCTGTTGTGATAGGACAAGGAGTAATGGTTTTAAACTAAAAGAGGAGAGGTTCAGACTAAATATGTGGAAGAAATTTTTTATTATTAGGATGGTGAAACACTGGAACAGGTTGTCCAGAGAGGTGGTAGAAGCCCTGTCCCAGGAAACGTTCAGGGCCAGGTTGGACGTGGCTCTCAGCAGCCTGATCTAGTGGAAGATGTCCCTGCTTATGGCAGAGGGGTTAGAACTAGATGATCTTTAAGTTCCCTTCCAACACAAACTCTTCTAGGAAATATTTTTAATGAAAAAAATTTATTACACTATATTAAGCGTTTAAGGAATATAAAATGAAATTGAGGCAATGAAATAATATACAATGTTTGTACATTTGTGTAAAGAATCTGCTAGCGTAATTTGGTTTAAGGGCATTGATCCAAGTATGTCTAAAATAAAATCACCTAGAAGTAAAATTACTTTAAATTACAGTTAGGTGTAATTCATTACAGCGATTTGATAACAAACATTAAGTTAGGAAACACATGCAGTCAGCATTTCTAGTATGTTCTTTTTTAGCTTCATTCACACAGGAAAGCCCCATTCTCCTTTCTCCTTCGAGAATAATCCTGTGTATGCCTTTCAGCCATTTGGAGGAAGGAAGGGAGAGAAGTTGGGGAGACAGTGCTGCTGTTCCTGCCTTTTCAGCAGATATTTTGGGCACGTATCCACCTGTATCCATCTAGATCTCTGGCTGCACTTCTGCTCTGCTGGCCCCTCTGAATTTCCTCATCGCTCCTGTCTTTCAAAGAGTGAGGAAAGGCAAACCAGTTACTGTAGATGAAGCAGACTTCTCTTACGTTCCCTTCTGCGTTGTGGCAAGTGAAGCCTGGGGGTGCCCCTTGCACAGAGGGTGCTGGCTGTGAAGCAGAGAAGCAGCTGCCAGGAAAGGATGCTTTCTCTGGGGCTGGTGCAGGTGAAGAAGTTCCCTCTGCTCCCTCTTGATACACAGAAAAGAATTCTTAAAAGTTATAAAGCCAAGGTTGGGTTATCGATTTTAAAACTGTCAACTTTGAAACAGAAACTTTTTCTGCTGTTAAATGAGGAAGCTCTGTTTTGGCGGGAGCGGGTCTGCTCGGAAGGGGTGCGTTTCTCTGTCAGCATTTTTCTGTTACGGTGCTCTCTGGCTGGCTTCAGGCTGATTCAGTGAGATTTAGTATGAAAATAGTCCTGTGGAAATTAAGAGTCAGCTGGGAACTGTGTGCTTGCTGAAGACAGCCAATTTCTAAAAATGTTTAGAAAAGTACTTTGGGGAAGAAAAAAAAAGGAAAGAAGTATTTGGTTCTAAGGATATAGTTTGAGAGCTACTGGCACATGTGTGAGACTGTAGGTGAGATAACTTCTAGCTGCAATGTTAAGACTTATTTAGTATTTTTTAGGTATTTGGAGTATTTTAACATTACTAGTGTTTGCCCTAATGGTTCTATTTTAGCTACACCTCTAAAGAAATATATTTGTCCAGCATGTGAAATACTATGCAGCAGTAAAGAAGAATATGCCATTTGCATTTTACTGCCTATCATGTGTTTTCAGATTCACCTTTTTTTTTTCTTTTTGCTGAGTTGCCTGAAGCAAAACATTCTCTTTCTGAATTAACTGAAGCAGACTTTGAAGTCTTGAGAATTTCCATGACCATTCTGAAAGGTTTTGTAAGCTCTTGAAAATATTTGGAAAAATAACTTTGACACTTGTTTTGCAATTAAACATGCATTTGTCAGTCTCCATGCCTAGAAGCCTGCTTTGCATAATTGCTTTAAAAATTCATTAATCTACCCTTCTTTAATAAAATAAACATATTTTCCCTTCCCAGCATGTCCTTTCTCTTTTTCCTAGGTGTTGTGGTTGGTGTACCACTTAGGCTAACACTTGTTCATCTCTCTGTGCTTTTTGGGAACAGAGAGAGGGGAGCTCTTATAATGGTGGTGTGTTCCTGGGATGGCAAGCCCCATGCCCTGCTGGGTCTGCAGGGCCTCACAACAGGCTCTGCCTTTCTCAGAGATACTAATAAAGCACAATTAAAACCAAAATGCTGAAAAGTGGGGTTTCCATATCCAGTGAGGGGCTGGAAACAGCCTGGGCCTGAGAAGCAGGCTGAAGAGACACAAGGCAGTGGCTGTCAATATGTAACCTCTGGTACTGCAGTTCTCCGTATTTCAGGCTCTTCTGTAGAACCACAGAAAAAATTGAACACCACGTTCATTGCTATTGAGGCTTCCTGCACCCCTCCCTTTCTTGAATTTATTACTGAAGCTTAAAATAAAATCCTTATGAATAAGTAAATAAAAAAATACGCAAGCACATGCAGCCAAGGGGCTGTAGGGGTTTTGTTGGAGGGGGTTCAGTAGCAGCTGTGGTGCTTTACCCAGCCTTCATGCAGTTAGAAGGTCCTGCATCGTGGCCTGAAATCTGACCTAGAAAGTACTGTCTTCCTTTGGTCTTTGCTGGATGGTTTTCTGTGGGAATGGGAATTCACCTTATTACTTGCTCTCTAATGGAGAGTCTGGCGCCAGTGCAGGAGAAAATCTCTGATTCTCTACTGAGACCCTGTTTTTTTAATCAGGGACGCAGAACAGCTTTCATCCTTGAAGACAGAACTAAAGATAAATGCATTCTTTGAATCCAGGAGTAGGCTAATTGCATGTAGAGTTTGCAGGCAATTTGTTGGACCTATTGATCAGCTGACTGAAATATTGATGAGTACGTGCTGTGTGTGTTTTCATTGCTGCCTAATGGAAGGATTCAAAGACTCATGTTCATCATCTTGAAAGCATGTTTGCCCTGTCATACCCAAACACAAGGCAATAAGGTTTTGTGTCTCTGGACCCCGGGGAAGGTGAGATAGGATTTCAAGCCCTAATCTGGTTACAATTTACACGTTGAAACAGTTGCATGTTTTCTGCAGTGGTATTGAAACATGTCTTCATCTAAAGATGTGCTTCTGGCTTCCTGTGTGTTTGACCATCATTTTTCTTTTTGGGAAAAGTGCAGAACTTGTTTCCCTTCCCCTTTGCTTCACAGTACTACCAGTTTGTATCTATGTGGTCCTTGGGTCTATCTTCCTCTACTTGACTTTGGCAGCTGTCTGTGCCAGCACTGGGATGGATGGTTGCCACCTGCCTTGTCGAATCCAGTACCCCACTTTCATTGGTGTAGTAGCCCAGCAGTTCCCTGTGCTTTGGTATGAAATACTTCGTGGTTCATGCTTAGTAGTTTTATATCCTTCCTGTGGTTTTGAAGATATTCTGGAAATAATTTAGAACAAATCTACTTCAGTTAGATGCCCTCCCTGAAATTATAGGCATCTAATTCCGTTTTGGTTGTCCTGAAATCCATGTTGCACGGACAGGTAAAAACGCGTGACCTGCAGGAGAGCTTTACCCCTAAGGAGTGGCATCTGGAGGGCAGACAGGCTATCATGTGTTCAGAGTATCACTTCAGATGTCCCAAATTTGGACGAGTGAGCATCATCCTTAACGTTGTACTGAAGTCACAAGCTATGTAACATTTTCAGTTGCTCGATTTAAGGAGTAGCTTTATTTCATGTATATCTTACTTTCATGCATTCACATAGAAACAGCTGAGACTTGTTCAGAATCGCGGTAGCAAGAACTGATTGTACAACATATTTCCTAATTTTGTATTCTGTCCACAGGTCCAGCAAGAACAAAGAAACCACACCGCAGAACCTGTAATAGATGACTATAAAAAGATGGGGACTCTCTTTGGCGAGCTAAACAAAAGCCTTATCAGAATAGGCTTCACAAGGATGTACTTCGGAGAACGGATAGTAGAACCTGTAATAATTATATTCTTCTGGGTTATGCTCTGGTTCCTTGGCCTGCAAGCTCTTGGACTGGTTGCTGTTCTGTGCCTTGTCATTATTTATGTACAGCAGTAATGTTTTATAGATGCTGTTCAGGTTACGTATTTCAACACTGTCACTATGTCAGTGGAATTATGTGCTTAAGTAAATGGGCAGCATATCAAAAGCTGCAATGCTTCAAATTGCATTTTGCTGAACTTCCAGCATTTGGGACGAGGGACACTAAAAGTGTGTGTTTTAAACAGAGTCAGCAGTGCCCTACTACATCTTTGAAGGGCAAAAAAAGGAGATGTTTGTAATATTATGGTGTCCGATGTACTGTTTTCTGCAATCTTGGGGCCTTAGTCCAAGGACTGGCTTTTTGTTCCTCACCCAATGTTCTGGCTTTGTATAGTGAAAATTTTCTGTCTGGTTTTAAGAGGACCCTTGATGTGAGTGTCCTGTTTCACTGTTGGGGGGAGCCGTGCTTGTGTGCTGTTCGCTCCCTGAGTCTGCGTAATTTTCTGGGTTTTTTTTATGAAGAGCTAAATTAGCACAAGGGAGGTTTGCTAACAAATCTACAATGACAAACATTCATAAGGTGAACACAACTTCCCAACACAAAATCAGCTTTGGTTATTGTAGTTTATAGCAAGCTTTCCCCCAGGAAACAAGCTGTGCCAGCAAAATGCCTTTATACTAGTATTAATGATTTCACACAAGGCTTCAGCTGTTGTTTAGGAGGTATCACAGTCTTAATGTTGTCCAGATGATCTAACATAGCTCTGCCTTGGTTTTGGAAATGTGCTCAGCTCCTGCTGCTATTTTTCTTTCTTTTTTTTTTTTTTTTATTTTAAATACTTTCTCCTTCTCCCAGCCCTCGTTCTGAAGACACATATTTGGATAATTCATGAATTTTGTAGGTAGTTACAGCTGCAGTATTGGAGAGTTGCCATTCCAGATGGCAATGCTAGAATGTTGGCTGCTTCCTCTGGGTCGTGTGTGAAGGGTCTGAACAACTAGACTGATAGCACTCCAGATCTCTTAACGCTTCCCTGATTTGCTGCAGTGTGGACCCAGCACAAGCAAGAAGTTTTGTGTACATAAGCGAATCAGACCTGTTTCCTCATGCAAGGCAAGAACATGGTTGAAATTAGGCAGTTGTTTTATTTAGTAGTATTAACTGATTCATCTCCACACTAGGCAAAAAGCCCTGTGTGTCTATAGGGGCATGCCGTCAGCGCTACACATTGGAGAATAGTATGTATGCGTTCAAGAGTAGTTGCAAAATTCACTCTGGCTCCCCAGGAGCCACACCAGGGGTATATTGAATATTTCCAAGTTGAAGGTGCTCATTTAAAGAAAAAATAGTAAAATGAGACAGAATTTTTACTAAATAGTCTACCAATTTAACATTTGCTATATGTTACTTTTAGTAAGAAACCTAATTGGAAAATTGACTTCATCTGTGGTTAGAGTGAAACTAGGCATTTCCTTAAAAGAAATGTAAAATAAGATGTTGAGTAGTTTTCTGTAAATTTCACCTTTTGGAGTTACTTGTTCCTAACCATTCTAACACTAGCAGAGATCAACAGTAGATTAGTTTAAAATGCTGTCTTATCCAGAGACATTTGAAGGTAAGGTGAGCTTCTCTATGGTCCCAGTTCTGCAACTGGATTCTCAAGGCTGATTTTATGCCTACGTGGATCATGTTGTGGATGCCCCCTCCTTGGAAGTGTCCAAGGCCAGACTGGACGAGTCTTTGAGCAGCCTGGTCTAGTGGGTGGTGCCCCTGCCCGTGGCAGGGGGGTTGGAACTAGGTGATCTTGAAGGGCCCTTCCAACCCAAACCATTGTACGATTCTATGTTGGTTGCTGGGCTTTATTTCCAGGATCCAGTCTTCTGTGTTAGTGAAATGATAGTTATGTAGGGCAGTGAACATGAAGGCCCAGCTCCTTTGAAGTCTTTATGTGCTTAAATGTCATCTGTAGATGTCTCTGTGCTTTTCTGATGAATATGTAGTTACCTTCCGAGGAGCCAGGTCTCCTCTCCAGATTTTGAGATGACCTTGACTGTAGATCACAGGGGCTCTGCTGAGCTGGCAGGACTGCAGGGGAGTGGGGTGGAGGGCCAGCTGTGTGTTTAGATGGCAACCTGAGTCAATTGGCACCTAGTTAAATAGTTACGCTGGTGGCAGGTAAATGTTTGGCAACAGCAGGTGATCCTGGCTACAGGGATTTGTTCTTCACGGCTTTAAGTTCCAAAGCAAACAGCAAGTACAGGCTGAGCTCAGAGAGGAGCTCTGTACTCACAAGTGCCTAGGGGTAAACTTTGGTTTTCTTTCAGATCCCTTAGAAAGCAGAACATCTGTTTATACCTGTGCATATTTGTATAGTGGTGGGTTTATGTGTATTCTTCTCCCATATAAGGGCTGTATTACAAATCATCTTGTTATTGGGGGAAAAAAAATAAATCCTTCCTTTCCTCCCACAGTCAAGTTACTCTTCAGAGCATCTCATCCAGTTCCTCTTATTCTGTGGAAAAAATTGTCTCTGCAGTATCCTTGTTGCAGTAGTACTCTTGTGTAACGACACTGTGCTGTGAGATGGTGTGTAGTATTTCCTTGAGGTGGAGATTTTACTCTGTACATAAGAAATGGGGAACAATGAACCAAGGGTGTGACTGACAGGTTTATTGAGGGCACTGTTTGTATGCATATAAGCCTTTAGTACCTGCGTAACTGTGACTGTTTCGCTCATGAAGTCATTTCAGTTGTTCTTTCGATGTTCATGGTTGTATACGTGTACTTTTAGGGAAAGGTAGCTTTTGGATTAGGAGTTTTAAAGTTAATGGTTTATGTATTTTTTCTTAAGGGTAACTTACTCTGTCTTGTCCTTCATAGAAGTGTTTAATTTTTAAAAATGTGGAAATAAAAGCCCTCCCAATGGAGCTAGGTTGACTGACAATGAAGAAGGAAAATCTGGTATTGCATGGAAGATACCCCTCACCTGTTGGGTTTCATACATTCCATTGTATATAAGAATTTGCATTGAGTCTCTGTCCTAATTTTGTGCTATTGCTATACTATCTCCCTGTCATTTGCAGGAAAGTAAAGAGGAGGTAACAAAAAAAGGGGACTGGAATAAAATCAGACGTAAAGAGTGGAAAATGGAATGCGACAAAATAATGCATATACGTGTCAATAGAAATCTAATTTTAAATATGTGCCATAAGTGAGGCGCGAGTTGGTGGACGGTTCGCTCAGTCAGTTGAGCATGGTGCTGCTAACACCGAGGTGGCGGGTTCAATTCCCATTTGGTTCCCATGTGTTGCCTGATCTAGTTGAGAGGCGTCCCTGCCCATGACAGGGAGGTTGGATTAAATGATCTCTAAGGTCCCTTCCAGCCCAGGCCATGCTATGATTCTATGAACAGTTCTTGCACTGTGTTCTTCCTTCCCTCCAGACGTAGTTCCAAGGCAGAGGAAGCACCGAGCATTCAAAGGATATGCCTAGCTAAAAAGCAGGTTAATTAAAACAAAAAACAATAACAAAACCCCACCCTGACAATTTCATGGTTGTCTATATAATAAAAATTGGTAATGTTATTTATATTAGTGTATATGATTATTATTCTTGCTAGAACTGAAAGCACCTTTATGCATCTCTGTGTAGGACTGTATGAATCACTGAATCGTTTAGGTTGGAAAGACCTTTAGGATCATTGAGTCCAAGAAGGATGGAATTAGCTCCTTAAAACTGTGTTAAACAGCAAATGATGTAACTCTTGTTGGTCAGTGTAACATATTGAAAACTTTTTGTGTAACCTCTGTTTTTTAAAGGATGGACTCCAGTACTGTTTCACACCTGCCAAATGCACAAATGTTTGGACTACTGTGTACAGAGAAGAAACTCTATGTGTAGGAGAATCTTGAAGAACCCTGTCTGCACTGAGAAATCATAACATCCAAACTGTCCGTATAAAAAGGAAAAAATCATATTTCTTAAAAACTCTGTATTAAGTGAATCCTATGGAAAGCACTGTTATTCTTTCTAATAAAAAGTATTGCCATTGATGAGAACTGTGAATTCTTTGTGGTACTTTGTTCAGGGTTACTTGACTTCTTTCCAAATTTCATGCTAGGCCCAAATGAAATGGGTCAGCACTCAGATATCCACTGAAATTAGTTAACTTGCAGCTAGTGGAGAAATAACTGCAGTACAAGAGCCGAATACACCGCGTCAGATCTCTGTGGTTGAGTGTGCAGTGAATAATGCGTAATTTAAAAAAAAAATTAAAAAGGTAGTAGAGGTAGGTGTTAACAAATAATGTCAACATTAGTGTATAAAATAACTTTTATTTCACAACATATCTGTTTTGCATCCAGAGCTGCCTCTGGAGGAACAAATGTGGTCAGAGGCGTGAAAAATACTTTAAAGTATTGCCCTGTCGCAGTAAGGTCTGGGAATTTTCATTTGTTTTTTAAATATGCATATAACAGCATACGGTTCAAAATAAATCCTCTTCAAACTGTTCATTTTTTTTCTGCAGGTCAGAAGGGTGCTCGTTCTGCCAGATCCAACAAACACTTGAATCTCTGTTGCTTAAGATGCACAATGAGTTAAACAGTGCAAGTTGTCTAAAAGCAGTAAAGTTGAATTCTGGTCCTTCAAACTCAAATTGGTGGTTGTGCATAAAATAAGAAAGACTCAGTGCTTGAATAAATTCAAGCTTTCAGGTTTTATTTTTGATAAAGTATCTTGACCAGGCCTTTTATAGGGTGCATGCAAATTCAAAACCAAGCTGTCTTTGACTCTGATTCTTTTCATCTTGGGCTTTACTCTAGGTTTTAGAAGTTTAGTTCTTAGCTTCTCCCATCTGCTAGAACTGACAACTTCATCCCATTTTTACTTTCCTCCATTCACTCTGTAGCGTTGCCTTCCCTAGGGCTGTTCACTTAGAGCAGTCTCTCTGAGCCAAGAGTTCAAGCTTTTTCATCATTCAGTCTTCTTAAAAGTTGTCTAGGCAGAAAATCCATTTTCAGTTGGATATTTTATACGTGTTACTGTGTGCCTGCTGACACCACAGGGGAGGGAA